ACGATATGGCCGTGAGATAACTGACATCACACAACAAGGCCCCCGCGCCGCGTGTAAGGGCAGCAAAAAAATCATTTAAAAAAGAAATACGGCATTAACATTTTTATTATTTCAACATAAGATAAATATAAAGTTGATATAAAATAATTTCGTTAAGAGAAATAATCGGGCTTTAAAATTAAAAAAAAGCAGTATTTTACCATTATCGTGATTGATTAACTCAATAACTTTTTGAAAAACTATTTTAATGTTTTTATTAAACTAATTTAAATAACCATTTTAATTTTACTAAATCAGAATCAGTCAATAATTTGTTTGTATTGCAAGATGTTGAAACCAGGGGTATAATATAAATATATAGAAAGAAAGTGAGGCAAAGTTATTATTGATATAACATTTTTTTTTTCAAGTGTAATACCTATATTAAATATGCTGTACCCTACTGAAGACGATAATCTCAATCAAACGAATATTCCAACGGTACATTGCCGATGACAGAGCACGCACGCGCATCGTACGTGTGCCCTATAGGTACTGTACCAAGTATACGCTTGCCGTTGTCGCCGTCCGGCCTTCGTCGAGCTCCCATTACACGCGGGACTCAACACCTTGCTCTACTTCCAATACATTCACGAATACAACCCAATATTGAGGAGCTCGATGGCGAAACTGGTTAGCGCGTTCGGCTGCGATCGTTGAAGTTAAGCAACTTTCCCAGTGGTCGGCCATTGGATGGGTGACCAAAAATTTACTATCTCGAGCTCCTCCGTGCTTCGGAAGGCACGTTAAGCCGTTGGTCCCGGTTGCATCTGCAGTCGTTAGCACCCACCAATCCGGGGTCCGTGGGTCATGGCCCAATCTCCCTATTCCATCCATAGGGAAGTCCCGTGCCCCTGCAGTGGGGACATTAATAGTCTGATGATGATGATGATGATGATTCAGCAGCCGATTGAACAATGGATCAAAGTTGTAACGCGAATGCAACAAGTTTGTCACAAATAAAAGGAATGGTGGAAAATGAGGAAAACATATAAAGCAATACACCCTCCTAAGCAAAGATCGATAGCGCAGACAGGAAAATCCTATGGAAATGGAAAAAATAATGAGCTGACAACGAAATCCTTATTCAGCAAAGCATAAGATAGTAGCGACTCTCAGTTCAGCATAATAATAAATGTTTGTTTAAAACTATTTACTGAGATTGTTCATAAAAGTTATGGCAATCACCAAGTATCCTAGAAATACGACGCTAAAACAAGAAACCGTGTGCAGAAGTAGGATAGTTAATAAGCATACAATTAATACGAAACAAAGAATATTTCAGTGTGAAAATTAAAATTCAAGGTGGCAGAAGGGCGCCACAGGGCTGACTAGACAAGGAAGTCTCATACATTTACTGTCAGTCGAACAGTCATTATGTGATCATGCGTAATAAATTACATTTAGTGTTCAACGCGATTACATTAACACATCATGAGTGAACGATGTTCTGTATTTCTTCAATTACACTTCTCCGCAAAAATGAGAGAAGTTAACTGATTAATCTTATTGCAAGCGATGTACATGTATTTTTTTGAATTTCTCGGAACTTCTAGATTCACGTATGAAATTCCACTTGTGATATCATGCACAATTTCCTTGACATGTAACTTAATCCAAAATCGGAGATTGATCTCCCAACATTCTCAATTGATCTTGTGAATGACTCACACGTTTAAATAAAAGTTCTTTTTGCGTGAAAGGGAATATTTTTGTTAAAATGCTTGTCGTTTTTGCCATCGGTGCATGCCTAGGTGTAAACTGCATCACATTAATAGAAAGAAACGGCGCGATGCAACGCGGCGGCTGGCGCGACGGCAAGGCCCTTCCGAGACATTTTGATGACTCAACCGATTTACAACATTTACATACTCATCTTACTGGGGCAACCATGATCTAAGTGCCTTATTTTCCAGGCCTTGTAAGGATATCTAATTATATCTTTATTTCTAACTCATTTTCCTGAGTAAACAATACAGACTTTAAGCGTGGGTTTTTCAAAACAGGCACAGTTTATTCTTGAATGGAAAGAAGACAAAATAATTCTAATAAAGTAACGACCCATCGAATGATAGATCCAATAAAAAAATATATAAATCACTGTGATAATGATAAAGGTCAAGTTCGGAAAGCATACATTTTCCTTGTTTGTCGTAATAGCAATACTGACTTACAATCTCATAATCAGCAGTTGTTGACAAAATTTTCATTAATGTCAGTTAATCTCTCCAACACTGCGACTATTTTAGTTAGTTAATAGAATTATTCAAAGTACATGATCATCAAAACAGGATGAAATAGAGACAAAAAAAAATACAAAAACGATTGCAATTGTTTTTTTTTCCGTGTACATTTAATACTTTTTGGGGAAAATTTAAATATGACCAATATTAAAATAATTTTGAAATTATTTGCCTAAACTGTATTCAAATGAATTTAATAACGCTCTTCAGCTTGGTTTTCAAAGAGCACTCACAGGTTTTCTGCTGTTTAGTTATCCCAAAGATTATAAAACAAATCTTAGGTCAAATAAAAGACTTCTGCGCCAGTTTAATTCTAGTCTCACGGCCTACACCACCCGGATTCACTTTTACACAGCATTAATTTACATTGTGCTATTGCAGAAGATTTAACCTTTACCATAAATTACTTAAGTTATTCATTACTTTATTTTTCATCGGATATAAAGTTACATCTTTTTAAACTCCGGATTAACTATTTCTACTGCCTCTAATTGGTTTTGATATCATGCGCATACAATAATATCAATTTTATTGGAGCCTACTTAGGATTCTGTTTATATATGTTTTAACGAGTCTGACAAATTGCATAACGCTTCGTTGATTTTTTTTTTGTTAAAGTTCTCCCATTTTGGGGAAGACAAGGGGAACAATGCCCATACAGCCTGGTCTTTAATTAAATTAATCTTCTTTTTGTTTTTACATTAGAATGTCGGTGTGACACATTCTAATGTTTCTTGGAGTGTTTGGCACGAAATGTATCGAGTTGGCTTTTTCGATAAGCTTCTGTGAGGTAGTCAACACTACAATAAAATTCTCACGTCCACTTGACCGGAATAGCATATATTTTAACGATTCCACTAATTCTTCAGTTACGCAGACAGTTTTTACACAAAACAACACCAATTTTATTTCACAATATCCACTATGAACGAATTTAAGAATAATTAAAATAAGACGCCAACCACACTCGATGAAATCCCGCCAAAAACTCTACGCTTCGTTGAATGAATCATGAATTGCCAGCCGACCGGGAATATTCCCCATAAAACCTCACATTCTACAGGAAGCAATCAAACCAACTGAGCACGAGCGGTTGTAAGGTATATTGGTGGAAATTCTCCAAAATCTAGCAGAGCTTTGTTGCTATTTTGAGGCGGCTATCAATGCTTCTTCCGGGTTGGAAGCCAGCCAAAGATGTACAAAGGATGGATGCATGTAGTTATGGCACACGAATCTAAACATGGACGCGTGCTGAAACAACTATTAGAAGAATAGCTTAAATAGCAACCGGTACTTTTTCAAGACTTTCACGAAGGCATCCAATCACTGCATTTATTTTTTTAGAATATGGTTTTATGGAAATATTACTATGGGTACAAGAATTGACAAGATAAATATTCGCCGTGATTCACGAACGTTGAGCATTTTCCTACCTACTGCATAGTTAGGGACTTATATACATAGTACATAGAAATATCTTATTGAAGTAGTGCACTGAGATATAATTTACAAATGTCAGTTGAAAACAGGAATGGATTTCGCGTAGGTCACCCTCGCGCTCCTAGTTAACATGGTACTGCAATATCTAACCAGGTTTAACTGGTAATATCAACAAAATCTTTATCAAAATATCAATTGATTCCAAGCGTTATTATAAAATCGATCATTTGGCTTAGATTAAAACGGGAAGATACGGCATCAATAGCCTATCTTAGTACACTGCTGGACATAGGCTTCTCCAATTGCACGTCACTCGAATCGATCTTGGGCTACTCGCATCCAGCTCCTGCCAGACACCTCGCGCAAATCGTCACTCCATCGTGCCTGAGGACGTCCTACACTACGTTTGCCTAGACGCGGTCTCCACTCCAGATCTCGTCTACCCCAACGGTTATCGGTTCTGCGGCAAATATGGCCCGGCCACTGCCACATGTATGGATGCAAGAATGTAATACGTTATTGCAATACTCTTCAATATTGACATCAGTTTTCTCCAATCATCTATCAAGGTTAACACGACCGTTTGCTATTAGCCAGGCTACCGAACGTGTTTTTACTCCACCCTGAGTAGACTATGCAGTAGGTGGAAAAATGCTCAACGTTCGTGAATTACGGCGAATATTTATCTTGTCAATTCTTGTCTGTGGGAAATGATTGCGAATTATCAGGTAACTCAGAAAGTTGACGGACCAAAGCCAGTTCAATTAACTTATGTTTCTCTAAAATTATCCGGTTTAATGCAGTGAGTATTTTTAATTTTGAATGAATTAGAAATCACGCGTTATGCAAATGGTAAAACTTGATTCTATTGCAGTCGGTCTGCAAAAATGCATTGAAAACATAGGTTTTACTAGCCAATGCATAATACTTGATAGTTCTGTAAAACTGAAACATCGTTTTTATTTCGATTCTGATGAATTCGATAGCATCACATCTTCAGAATAATTCGAGTTGTTTTTAAGGATAAACCTTGTGAGTTTGTTATAAGAGATTTACCAAACAATTTTAATTACAACGAAGCACTCCTAACAAACCATATTCGCAAAATTTTTGACATTAACATTGTGTAACTAAAGAGAAAATTGCATATCCATCAATGCTTTTCAGAACGAGTATCTTAGTGGCGTTTTAATAAGGCAGTAGTGGGTCACTAAATAGCTCGGTGATTATCACTTCCATCTGTCAAAAGCAGTTAGCGAATAGGCCTACAGGACGTACCTTAATTCTCAGTCTGTGGTCCACACATTCCTTGAGCACCGCGAGTGGGCCATCCATTGTTTCAATACGGGTCAGAACATTTTTAGCTCGTTTCTCCCTTCTCACAGGCTGTGGAACTGCAAACAAAATAATTTATTTGGAATTTCTGAAACTGTATCAGCTATCTTCGCGTCTGGACTTCACCTTCACTTAACATCAGGTGGGGTGGAGTCATTTGTCGGACCTATCTATAAAAAAAAATTGTCCTGTAAAATATCTGCAATAGATAGTAGTCATCAAAGAAATAACTTTTTATATACTATATGTATATAGAACCATTTTAATTTAAGTACAGACACGTTGCTTTTGCTTTAAATACTATTGTCCAGAGTCTCAATTTATTGAATAAAATGTAATCAATCCTATATTACAATTCCCCGTTAATTTTCATGCACAAATATTATACGCACGATTTTCTTTCTCGCAGAAGTGATTTAAGTAACGATAAAACGAAACTTTGTTCCAAATAAGAATCACAAATTCACAATCTGATCTTTGCAGGTGAATATACCCAAATGTTTGCAAAAAAACCCATGAACGTGAAATAAAAGAGACCACCATTTTGCTTGATGTTCTTTTGTCACAAATGCGTAACGTGGGGTTTAATACCGTCGCAATAATCTGTCAAGATGGTGGTTGATATGAATATCAAGGAGGCGTTTGTGACGCATGTGTAATTATGGCAATATTTTAACAGGTGCCGTAACTGTGCCACTGATAGTACGGGTACTGCACTATTGTCGGAGGGCGATGAACCTTCTGCTCTAGCTTAAGATTCATCCAAAATGAACGTGAGACATTTTGATAGCAAATATGTTGAGTGCACTTACTGCTTTAATGTAATACTGTGTTCTTTTATTAGAGGTACTTCTTTATTAAAAAAAAAAACAGTACTTCAGTGATTTGATACATTTTTTCAACTAAAGACGAAACGATGCGTGTCTATTTCTGTTTGTATGTGGGTGTATGATATTTTTAACCTCGTAAAATTTTAGACTACAGTCGCTATCGATGGCTGCTGCTCCGAACCCATCACCATGCCGGATTTCCACGGTGCTCTTCCCGACGCTGTTTATCCGGCAATGGAATGCTGTTAGTTTCCCAAAAAGCATTTCTAGGCGGATAACAGATCGGGCGGTATACCAGCCACCCAACCATTAAACTTGTGTCCGAAGTGGAGGGTTTTCATGAACTGGTCTCCGAATGGAGATGTCAGAACCCTGTCTCGTTCAACCCCAGCAAGACACAAGTATAAGCATTCGCTGCAAAGAAGGACCCATTTGCTGTACCGCTGCATAATACCAATAGCGTTGGAATACTAAGAGTTCTAAAGAAAATATAACTAGAAAAAATTCCACGCGGACCAGGCAGCAGACGGGACTCGAACCCGCACCCTTCGCTATCCGGGCGAATGCACTGACCAATTATGCTACCGCAGCCCTGATGGCCGCGTCGAAATTCATCTAGCAATTCTTAAGCTGCAAGGTAGCGGCCATTTCTTCGCATTGTAGGAAACTGACTGTTTAATACTTGTAAAAGTATTCATTTGACATTGTGGGTTACCTACAATGCGAAGAAATGACGCTGCCTTGCAGCTTAAGAATGGCTAGAAGAATTTCGACGCGGCTATCAGGGCCGCGGTAGCATAATTGGTCAGTGCATTAGCCCGGATAGCGAAAGGTGTTCGAGTCCCGTCTGCTGCCTGGTCCGCGTGGAACTTTTTCTAGTTATATTTTCTTTAGATTTGAACATCAAGCAGTTACATGCTTAAAAAATAAAAATTATACTGTGAGTTGATAACTCGTGTGACGTCCAGTATAGATACCATTTAGAGGGCAAGGCCAAACTGGCCTCTAAAAGGCTTGGAGTTTATAATCGGTCCATGAAATACTTCACGTCTAAGCAAATGCTATGCTTTACAAAGCGCCAATTAGGCCCCATGTGGAATATTGCTCGTATCTCTGGAGCTCACAAAAAACAGTTGAATCCCGTCGATTCTTTACAAAGCCGTGTGATTCAAATAATTGTCGATGATCCCAAGCTAGCGCACATTCTGGAACCTTTAGAAATGGTCAGAGAAAATAAAAACGCCTATGCGTATTCTACGGGCTCGTTCACGATGAGTGCTTCTAGGAATTGTTCCAGTTAATACCCACAGTAACATTTTACCACCGTATCACCCGCCACCGGGATCGAGTTCACTCATATTACCTGGAAACACAAATATCCACAACTGTTGATTTCCAGAGGTCTTTTATTCAACAGACAATACAATAGAATGAGCCCCTCCACGGTGTTTCCTCAGTACTGGGACACTCAGAAAGTTTTGAGAACCTTAAAAACTAACTTCTATCATAAACAAAGTTTCATGCAACTGCGTCCTCTGCAGACACCTCTTCCACGGCCTTCTCAAACGCTGCTAGCGCTTCTTCCAGCGATGAAAACTGTACCCCTTTGAAATGATTTTTTATTTTAGGGAATAAAAAGAAGTCACACGGAGCCAAATCAGGACTGTAAGAAGGGCGTCCCAAGACTCTGACTGGTGTGGAGTCCAGGAAGTCCTTCGTTTCGATCGCAGAGGGCGCGAGCGCGTTGTCGTTGTCAAAAAAAAAATTGGCACTCGAAAAAATGCAGAGGGAAATTTAAAAATCGAACAGTAGTATTTTTACTTTTAAATAATCGAAGTTTTCAAGTGGCCAGTGTCTTATACATAAAAACTTTTTTTCGCAAAACTTTCTGAATGGCCTGGTAATATATGGTTCTCTTCAAGAGAGGCTCCAAAAGTGTTCCACGAAGGCTTCAGGCTTTACTGATATCCATGGGTGACGGTGACCCCACACACAGATCGAAATAGTTACCGCACGTGTCAAAAACATGCCAAAAATCAGAGCAAGCGTCTTCCTTTTCCGCTATTTTATTTCTTTGTACCAGTGTTTTCGATACTGATTCCAATCGCATTTTTTTCTAATTGTGCCATAATGCGTGCGCATGTTTTTTTACCACTTAATTTGCCATCAAAATTTGACGCACTTGTAGACGTCTTCTACCTAAATCTGGTGACCACTTAACATCAGATGGCCCATCCGCTCGTCTACTACCGAAGGCATTTGTTTTAATCCTGAGCTTTCCTTTATACTGTCTTCCTGCGGTATTACTAGCCCAAAGACACAGATCCATTAAGTATTATGTAGCCCTTGTTCTGGTTCAATTTCCATTGCTTAAGTTAATTTTCTTAAAGTTTAATCATTTGAATTCACCGAACGATAAGATTTATTGAGTCCTGTTCTTGAGCAACTATCCTTTATACTTTTTTCCCGTACTCAGCGTTTGATGTTAAATTAGATTAATTATTCTGGCAAATGTAACCTTTTATGAATGTCCAATAATGTTCAATTATATTTGTTTTCTTCACCTTTTAAAAAAATCGTTAGGCGTAAAGTAAATTTGAATAACCTCTATAACAGTTGAGAGATTGCAACTTCACAGAATAAATCTGATTTACGAGCTTACATTAAACGTATATATAATGATACATTTTCAGACCACGCCAGAAATGCGGAAGGTTGAGATGAAAATCTAGTCAGTTTCGTAACATCTTAGAAATAAATAAATGATTGTGAAAACCTATCAAAGGTTAATTAGAGTCGTAACAGTATCATCATATACGTTGTGAGTAACCGAATCCCTATTTTGTGGCGGGGCGTAACTCGATAGTGATTCAATTAACATAACAAAAACGTCGGCCGATCGTAAACTCATCGGCTGTCGATGGTTAAAAATAACTGCGTAAATAACGATAAATGTATGCGGCTCTCGAACGAAGTACCAGGGCGGCATGGCTTGCATGCGGTCGCCGATCGCGAATTACTTTCACTCGACTATCCCCGGGCGGGCGCTGACCGCGCGGCGGGGTCGTCGCCCGCGACCGAGCGCGGGAAACGCCATCGCGCCATTCAGAAAAGCGCGCGGTGTTTACACAGATGCGCGCCGAAACGCGTTCCGTTGCATCACTTCCGTTTCGTGATTATTATGCATTCGAAATCGCACGTGCTGATTTAGTTTAATGGTACTAGCTAGTCACTTATTCTGTCAGCCGCCCTTTGGCTACGCCATCGCGATTTACTTAGATATGACTAATTATGAGATTGCAACTTACATTGTATTATCTCTTTTATTACTAAACTGTATAAATAAAGTAAAAACCATAATAGCGTAAAATTTAAATTATATAATAAATACATGATAGTTTTAAAATAATCCACGCCTTCATTTCCTTTTTAACAGTACATAGCTTGCTAACCCACGTTTATTGATATCGCTTATAATTCAAACAGATTAAATAAGTTATACCTATTTATTATCGATGTCTAGATAATATCTTTAATTGACACGTATTTACATACAATTTGCTGCTAACAACACAAGTCACCCATTTATGGAACATAATAAAATTGTCTATACCTACCCGCAATTATAATACCCGAAAAAGGTATACTTTATATATTTATTTTTTTGTAATAAAGGGCTAAACTGCCACTTTATTAGAATATACGCCATCAGAACCATTTTTATTTGCCGCTTTTTCTGATACATATTCGCACCTGGCAACCAGCAAAGTTTTTTTTAAGAGGCAATGAATTGTTGTACATAAATCTTTGGACGTGGCGTCAACGACCGCGCTCCAGGGTGCAACAGAGATGGCATGCGTCCCACTCATGTGGAAAGCGGTTATGCAACACTCATGCGCTGCGCCGCGAAAGTCTAGCCTGCGCCGCCGTAACAATTCCTCGTCGCGATTCTGTGTCTAGTAAAATCGCACGATAACACTTACCCCAGCTCAGATGCGCTCAAAATAGGCTCTGTGCCCATTCGGAGACGCGTTTAAGCACATACCTATCCTCTTTGCTGTATTTCTAGATCCTTCCGACTGCACTGTCAAACGTCGATATCAACTAGAGCCTAATTTCTTATGATGATTCAAATGAGCCCAAATTCGATGAAATTGCATCGTTTTATGTTCACCCCGGCTCGATAATTAGTTCAACCCCTTTTATAATAATATTGCATTATTATCCGA